GACCCGCTAAGGAGCTCGTGGTTCCAAAGTGTCACCTGTTAGACCCACGAAATGAGGGCGACACAGCCCTACTTTAGAGCAGGAGCCAGGGGCCTGTACCCTCAGGGGAAGGGCACGGGGAGGGAAGGGCACGGGGAGGGAAGTGCCCGACTTTGGGTTCCACGGCACCCCGGCACCTCCTGACCCTCGGCCCACAGGCCCGGGTGTGAGGGATTTATCCGATGGCCCAGCCTCGCCAGGGCAGCAGAGCATCTGCGCGGCCCCGGCCCCGCTTGGCGCCTAGGTGGCGGCGCCCTCCGCCGCGCCCAGTCGCGTCCCCCAGCCCGCGGGTCGCCCTGCTTCCAGCCGGCTCTCGCAGGCTCTTTCTTTCTGGGAGGGGCCCCGGGACGCTGTTCTCAACAGACGCTGGTGGACCGAGAGGACGAAAGGGCTCCAGCTCCGCGCCCCACCCGCGGGGGAAGTCCAGGCCGCTCCGCCGCTAGGGCGGGGCCTCGCCAAACAATTCAAAACACGTTCACGGCGCGTCGCCGTGGCAACGCAGGACCGTTGCTAGGCGACCGGAGTGCCGTAGTAAACCGCGAGCGAGGTGTTACTCATCAAGGCGAGAGGGGGCGGGGGGACGAGGGGAGCCCGCGGGGACACGGCTGGGCTCGGGCACCGCCACTGCAGTGGGGAGGAGGGGCGAGCAAGAAGAGAAGGGACGGAGACGGCACATGCGGAATGGAAATGGTGCGGCCCAGCCTTACCAGCCGGCGGCCGCGCCTTGTGCCCCCTCGAGAGGCCACTCGCATTAGGAGTGCGTCCTGACCCGCCCCGCGGTCCCCAAGTGCCCCGAGCCCCAGCAGGGTTCGGTCACCCGCGCGTGAGCGATTGCCCCACAGGATGTGCAGATGTGGCTGCCCCTCTGATTCACCCCAGCTGCTCGGAGCATGGAAGAAAATTGGCTTCCTCTCCTGGAAATGGCCGCTAAAGCAAAAGCCCTCAAACAATTATATTAAAAAGCGGAAAGGGAAAGGCGGCAGAGAGGAGAGGCCCCGAAATGCTTTTCTTTGGTCCTTCCCACCAAACATGAGTAGATGTGTTCCCAGAACTCGGAACCCATATTAGGGAGACAGGAGTTTTTATTGAGCATTTGAAGCCATGTGGACATTAAAACACAGCTGAGATTAACCTGAAGCTGGGAAATTAACCAGAGCTAAGTGTCCAGCAGTGATGTTAATATTTTGGACACTCAGCATGGGCATTTGGTGGCATTACTCTTCCCTTCCAGCTGGGAAGCCAAAGACAAAATGTCCCGTGTGAAGACCTTCTGTTATCTTCATCAATGACTGAGTCAAATATGAGGCACTGAAGCAAAAAACTAATTAGAGCTGCAAAATCTAGGATGGTTCAAGATACATCATCTATAAAAGGTCTTTTCCGTAGGGAATCACTGAGCTTGGGAAAGGACAAAACATTTCCAATCTGTCACTGGATTGTGAGCAATGTGTTTGTACCCTGGTCTCTGTGAACTAAAGATAATACTAGTTAATGAGATCATTGTTTTCTGGGCTTTGCTCATC